GATCGACAGTGGGAGCGATGAATGAATCCCTGCTTCATCACTATGTGAGCCACTTGGATCATTAATTAAGATCCTAAAAATATACCCTTAGTTGACTTTAGCCTATAGAGTGTATAGAAGAGGTTTAAGATGATTATGAGGTTATCACACCCTATGTGGGTGAGTGGGAGATGTAATAAAACAAGTTATCACACCCTATGTGGGTGAGTGGGAGATGTAATAAAACAAGTTATCACACCCTATGTGGGTGAGTGGGAGATGTAATAAAACAAGTTATCACACCCTATGTGGGTGAGTGGGAGATGTAATAAAACAAGTTATCACACCCTATGTGGGTGAGTGGGAGATGTAATAAAACAAGTTATCACACCCTATGTGGGTGAGTGGGAGATGTAATAAAACAAGTTATCACACCCTATGTGGGTGAGTGGGAGATGTAATAAAACAAGTTATCACACCCTATGTGGGTGAGTGGGAGATGTAATAAAACAAGTTATCACACCCTATGTGGGTGAGTGGGAGATGTAATAAAACAAGTTATCACACCCTATGTGGGTGAGTGGGAGATGTAATAAAACAATGATTATGCACTAATCCTTGTTTTATGGCACTACACAAATTAAGGCACTTAGCCTTGTTTTATGGCACTACACTAATCCTTGTTTTAAGGCACTAAACCTTGTTTTAGTGCACTACCAACTTAAGCACTAGTGCATGTTTTATGCTCTCTTGAGATGAGCTAAAACAACTCCTATAAATAGATGGAGTGTGTGCAAGTGAAGAAGATGATGAGAAGCATTAGTGCATACTCTCTAAGTTGGTGTGTGTGAGACAAGAAGTGTGAGTGCATATCAAAGAGTTGTAGTGAGTTTTACACCCACAAAGAGAGAAACCTCATATCTCCCTAAACACTCTCCTTTAGGCAATTCACCAAGAGCCTTGGTCTTGGGTACGTGGAATCAATGGAGTAACTTTCATAGCCAATCCAACGACCTTGGAGACGAAGAACGTGTAGAATCTTGTTGGTGTGTTCGTGACGTGGAAGCATCACGGTGGGCTAGTAATTGCAAGCGGTTTTTCACTTGGAATCTTCCGCAAGGTATGCAGTACCTTATTCCGAATATATTAACGATAATTAACATCTCCAAAAGCTGCAACATTTCATCCATTCTTCCCATTTTACAAAGACCCTTTATCATGATCATAAAAGTAACACTCTTCTCGACCAACCCATCACCCCTAAAGTCTTCGTAAACTGATAATGCCAAATCCAAATAACCCGACTTCACTAACGCATCCATGATCCTATTGTACAAGAAAACCCTGGGTTTAACCCCAAATTTCTTCATTTTTTCATACACGTAATAAACCCTAAGACCTCTATTGGCATCGGAGTGCATTCTGATGAGAATCTCAAACTGTTTCTCGCTGGGCGGTTTGCCCTGCGAGTCCATCAACTCTGGAACTTGGTCCGCGGACCGGAACCGGTTGGACCTGTTCAGACAATAGGCCAAGGCATTGTAGGAAGCATAAGTGTGCTTGAAACCCTTTTGCTTACCTGCCCAGTGGGAGAACTTGGAAGCGGAGATGGGGTCGTTTTGGACCTTGAGCTCCTCGGCGACGAGGTCGGGCGTAACCCGGCGGAGCTTTCGGAGCTCCGAGACGACTGGTGGGCCCCAGTGGTTCTTGTTCTTGCGGAACGCGTCGAGAATGAAGCGCGCGATAGGGGAGAGAAATGAGAGGAGTGTCGTGTCAGCAGGGTTGGATGATGAAGTGGACGGCGAGGATTGGGGGAGGTGTGGGTCCCATTTGGAGAGTTCGAAGGGCGGCGGTGGGGTATTTGCGGTTTGGGAGGGAGACGAGGTTGGAGAAGAGGCCGCCGCGGACTGTAGGGCGGTTCTGTGAGGGCTTGCGTTGGCCGTGGAAGAAGGTGAAGTTTTGGGGTTTAGGAGGTGGGGACTGAGGTGGCATTTTACAATTTGTGTCTGTCCCTTTTACTCTCTTTCCGTGTTTCTAAAATTCTCAAATTGGAATCAATAACAAATTAGCATCTCACATTTTGGAGAAATTATACAATGATACAGTATCACCACGTCAGCTTGTGATACTCCCACTCAAGATCTACCATGTGTCCTTTTTGAAAAGAAAATTAAAAAGAATTTACACCTGGACTTTGTCTTACAAGTTTACCCTTCAACATTAATTATCCTAACCCCTCTCCCCCCTCTTCCCTGTGCTATTGACGCCACCTAGCCGTCTTTGCATCTCCCTCGCCACCCAGTCGTCTTCCCTCCTCCCTCACCACCCACCCGGCCCTTCCGTGCCTCCCATTCTTAGTAAAAAGTTAAACGTATTTAGAAAGCCCAGAAATCTTGAAAATCAGTGCAAACCCATTAACACATAAAACAAAAATCTTCAAAATCTCCTATGACGACAACCCACTAGTGAAAGAAGGGTATGTTTGATGTTGATATTATTGGAGGGGGACTGCAGCCAAGCGGCGGCAGTGCAAGGTAGGTAGATTGCCGAAAGGGGAAACTGCTGCTACATCTTGTTTTCTTTTTCCTGTTTTTACAGTTCTTATTTTATTTTATTAGGGGTAAAGTTGGAAGATAAAGTCTAACAGTGAAAAAAAGTTAATTTTCTTTTCAAAAAAGACACGTGGTAAGTTTTGAGTGGAAGTATCACCAGCTGACGTGGTGATACAGTATCATTGTATAATTTCTCGTGACTGGAGGGAGGCCAGCTTTAAATACGATCTCAATTAATGAGCAATTAACCAATTGGGTTAGTGGGCAAAACGTGTATAACGAAAAAGGGTTACATATCTTTGGGCATCAACCCCTGTTTGTGCCTAATAAATCACGGCCATGAACTGGCCGAAGGGCCCCCGTCCCTCGGCCCTTGGCATTTGCTCGTAAAAAAACTGAAACGCAGCGTTTTAGGCAAGGTGTTTTACCTTCCTGAAAACAAAAGAAAAATGTCAAGGCATGATTACCTCGGCCTCAATTGCAGGCCGAGGCCGAGATCGAGCAAAGTCACGGCCAAAGGCATTAAAGTCAGATCATCACGTGACAGCAGGGTCCCACGCTCCATTTAATGAAGCAAGGCCTCTGTTTATTGCAGCAAACCCACTGGCCAAGAATGAGCATTTAATGCACGAGGGAAGGTGGGAAGTGATTGGAGTCAGGATTTGGTGACAGGGATCAGAGTGATTAGACGCCAACATTCTCACAAAGCTCTTTGCAGCTTGAGAGATTAGGTGACCAGCCACCAGAGCAATAAATGCGTTTCCACGGCCAGAAGCTCAGAACCCACGATCAGGGCGGCGGCCGAGATTCACCGGGATTCATGGGGTCACACCACCATACTTCACGATCCCAAATGTCGATTGGACTACCCACTTGCCCTAATCAGGCTCCACCATGCGGATTTTCAGCCTCGATTACTCCTCCAGGAACTTTGCCTATAAATACAAGACTCAAGACCACTTTCAAAGGGTTCAAACACCAAACAAAAGCCTCCCACGGAGCAACTTATATTTTCCTGTAATGCACTTTCAATATTTTACTTGCTTTCCTAGGAGTAGTGTTAGTTTGTAAGGAAAATCCATTCATCAATATATCATACGACCCTTGATTTTCAAGGTGCCGGAGCACCATCCTTATTATTCGCTCATTCACCCCAGATATCATACGACCGTCGCTCCCTGAGCAGCGCGCCGGAGCACCGCCCAAAACCCACCAACACCACCACTCAACGGCCTTGTAGTTCAGGCCGTGAACCTAACAGCCGAGACTAGTTCCTCTCTCGGCTACAATTGTTTGATTAGAAGACGAGTCCGAACAGGCGCACCACTTAAACACTTTCACCCCCTTCAAATATCTCGACGCACGGTAGATCGTGCTGGCACGCCCGCGCACAACCGCACCGCACCCAAAAGCAGGAAACCGCGTGTCAACGCACATCCCCTCGGCCCGGAACTCCAGGCCATGAGATTTGCGCGGCAGACAACCCCCCAATATTGACAGCAGCAGTGTAGAGATTGGGATGGAAACTGACACCTTCATGGATGCCAACACTGCAATCCCTAAGCATCCTGAGAATACCCCCCTAGAACAGGAAATGGACCTTATGGAAAGTCAAGCCCAAGCTATCAGCGTGGATGTGCCAAGGAACTAGCCTTGCAGGTTCTCCCGTCCTTGCACTCATTTTTAATGATTGTTATTTGTTGGAATGTTCGAGGCGCTGCCTGCACCAAATTCAGACCCACTGTGATGGAGTTGATCCACAATCACCATGTCGACATCCTTTTTCTCTGCGAGCCGCGTATCAGCAGTAAGAAAGCAATTGATACAGTGAAGTCTCTTGGTTTCCCCTGCTATGAAATTGTTGACTCTGTTGGTTTTTCTGGCGGTCTTTGGCTCTTATGGAAGGATACAAATGTTAATATTGAGATCCTTGGCTCCACTGACCAATCTATCACAACTTGCGTGACTAGTCCTGGGAAGACTCCTTGGCTTCTCACCACTATTTATGCTAGCCCGTGTGGTCCTAAAAGAGAAAAATTATGGGAGTATCTTGATTTTGTTAACAGCTGCCATCAACTTCCATGGGTCCTTGCTGGAGACTTCAATGAAATGTTACATGTTGAGGATAAACTAGGAGGTGCTCTGAGCATCAGACACAAAGGGTTCAAGAAGTGGTTTGATAACCATGCTATGGTTGACCTTGGCTTCTATGGTCCTAAGTACACTTGGACTAATAAGAGGGTGTTTGAACGTCTTGACAGAGCTATCTGCAACTTGGCTTGGAAAAGCTTATTTGGGGAGGCCCACGTTAAACACCTACCCCGGACTAAGTCTGATCATAATCCTATCAAGCTTTGCCTAAAATCTGGATTTACCACTTCTCCGGGTAATAGGCCTTTTCGTTTTGAGGCTATGTGGCTTAAGCATGAGGGTTTTACTGATTTTATAACTCAAAATTGGCAGCAGCTCTCTGGCCCAGTGTGGGTAAAATCTTACGGATTGGTGGATCCCCTTAAACTTTGGAACCTCCAGATCTTTGGTCATCTCAAACAAAGGAAAGCAAGACTCCTTGATAGAATCAATGGCATCCAAAAGGCCCAATGCTCGGGTTTCAATAGATTTCTTCAACACCTGGAAAGTTCTCTAGTTGATGAATTCAACACCCTTCTTGAATAAGAATCTATGTTTTGGCGCCAAAAATCCAGAATCCATTGGCTGCAAAATGGGGATAGAAACACTAAATTCTTCCACATAACTACGGTTATAAGGAGGAGAAAGAACAGAATTGAAAGACTGCAAAATGAGCTTGGTGATTGGGTTGAAAATGCTGCGGATATTAAGGCTTTGGCTGTTAGTTACTTCTCCAACTTATTCACCCAGACTCAAGTTGTGCAATGCGACCGTCAAATTCCTAATCTCTTTCCCGTTATCGAGAATGCGGAGCTTGACCTCCTCACCAGAGATATCGATGTTATGGAAGTTAAGGATAGCCTCTTTAATATTGGCAGTCTAAAAGCTCCTGGTGTTGATGGTTTCCCTGCGAGTTTCTACCAACGATACTGGAGCTTATGTGGAAAATATATTGTTGATATGGTCTCTAAAGCCTATGCTGACTGTCATGTGCCCGAAGAATTGAATGGTACTCTGATAACTCTGGTTCCTAAAGCTGTCAGCCCTCAAACAATGGCCCAGTTCCGTCCCATAAGCCTTTGTTGCACCCTTTACAAGGTTCTTTCCAAAACCATTATTGCCCGTTTACGGCCCCTGATGTCTACCTTAATTAGCCCTAACCAAGTTAGCTGTGTCCCTGGGAGACAAATTTTTGACAACATCCTTGTGGCCCAAGAACTCATGCACAAATTCAAAAACTCTAAGGGGAGAAAGGGCTTCATAGCCTGGAAGGTTGACTTATCCAAGGCCTATGACAGGCTGAACTGGAACCTTATCAGGTATGTTCTTAATGAAATTGGTCTTCCATCCATGCTTAGCCAGCTGATTATGTCTTGCGTCTCCACTGTTAGGTATCAGGTGTGTGTCAATGGGGAACTCACTGATAGTTTCACCCCCACCAATGGAATTAGACAAGGGGATCCCCTTTCTCCGTATCTTTTTGTCCTGTGCATTGAGAAACTTTCACACATCATTTTTGACTCTGTACGGAGGAAGAAGTGGAAGCCTGTTAAGAGCTCTCAATCTGGTCCTCTTGTCTCTCACCTCTTCTTTGCTGATGACTTGATCTTATTCACTGAAGCTAGCACCCAACAAGCTAGAGTGATGAAAGATTGCCTTGAGATTTTCTGCAGACCCTCTGGCCAAACTGTGAACTTTGATAAGTCTGCAATCTACTGCTCTCCCAACACTGGTAATGCTTTGGCTACTGAAATCAGTTGTATATGTGGGTCCCCCCTCACTGAGAACCTTGGTCATTACCTAGGGATGCCTCTACTCCACTCAAGAGTCTCCCGCAACACTCATAGAAAGTTGGTGGATAAGGTCCATCAGAGATTGGCTTCTTGGAAGAGTAACCTCCTGTCTATGGCAGGAAGAGCTACCCTGATCCAAGCTGTAACTGCTGCAATTCTTGTCTATGCTATGCAAACTGCTAAGCTCCCAATGTCTACCTGCAAAGATTTGGACCGGGTTAACAGAAACTTCTTTTGGGGTGGTAGTGCTAATAAGCAGAAAATTCACCTATGCCAATGGGACTTGCTTTGCAGACCCAAATCCAAAGGTGGATTCGGTTTTAAAAAAACCTCTGACATGAACCAGGCTTTACTTGCAAAATTTGGCTGGCGCATACATTGTAAGGATGAGGGCTTATGGGCAAAAATTTTCGAAACCAAATATCTCAAAGGGAAGACCATGCTTGACCCCTCCCTGAAAGATAAACAAGGCCGCTCCGCCACTTGGAAAGGGATTCTTCATGGTGCTGATCTCCTTGGTAAAGGCATGAAATGGCGTATTGGCAAGGGGGATACTGTGCGTTTCTAGATGGACCACTGGATTTCTACTGGGCCACTGTTGAATCATGCAGATACCCTAACCCCAGAACATTTAACTTGCAATATCAACAGCTTTGTCATTGATGATTGGTGGGATATTGGAAAGCTGCGCTCTGTGCTTAGTGAGGACCTGGTACAACAAATCATCAGCTCCCCTGTTGGGTTTAATAGCAATCTGCAGGATTCCCAGATCTGGAAGCACACTGGCAATGGTATCTTCACTGTCAAAACTGCGTATGAGCTGCTTTTTGCTAACAACTACTGGGCTGACCCCTTCTGGAAACTCATTTGGAAACTGAAAATTCCCCCCAAGCTTCAGATTTTCTTCTGGCTGGCTTACCATAATAAAATCTCCTCCAATGAACAAAGGGCTACTAGAAACCTAACTTCTGACCCTTCCTGTGGTATCTGTGGTTGGAGCTCTGAATCTGTCCTCCATATTCTCAGAGATTGTCCCAGAGCTCAGAGCATATGGACTGGCATGCTAACTCACTCTCAACGCACACAGTTCTTCCACGCTGACCTCAGAACTTGGATCCTTAGTAATCTGCTTTCTAGAACTAGTTGGAGTGCTGGTATGCCTTGGAGTACTGGATTTGTCTTTACTTGCTGGTATTTATGGAAATGGAGAAACCAATTTGTGTTTAATGAGGAGGAGCCCCTTCCTTTTAGCCCATCTTCTACTATTTTAAAGGCTGCTAATGAATGCTCCTCCAATGCTTATGCTCCTCTGACCAAAACTCCAAAGACTCTGGTTTCTTTAGCTTGGGAGCCCCCTGCTACTGGCGGCTTCAAACTGAATGTTGATGGGTCTCGGAAAAATTCTAATGGTGCTATTGGTGCTGGAGGTGTTATCCGTGATTCTACAGGGGACTGGGTCACAGGTTTTACAGTTAATCTGGGTAAAGGCCAAATCCTTGAGGCTGAGATATGGAGGCTGTTCTTTGGTCTCAAATTGGCAGCTGAAAAAGGCATCCCTAACCTAGTGGTTGAGATGGATTCTGCTACTGCATTTCAGCTCTTCAAAAGGTTTGGGACCCCTAGCTCTCATCGCCTTGCTGGTGTGCTCTCTGACTGCAGAAGGTTTGCAGAACAACTTGGAAATTGTGGAGTCAACCATGTATACCGTGAACAGAATTGTGTGGCTGACTGCTTAGCCCAAGCGAGCTACAATGGTGATCTGGGCATCTGCCCTTTTGACTCTGCTCCAGCTTGGATTGGCACATGCCTAGCTGACGACGTGATGGGTTCCTCTAAGACCCGCTGGGTCTGTTGTAATATTAGTTAGTTTGTTTGTTGCTGGGGCCCTGCCCCCCATATTCACCAAAAAAAAAAAAATCTTTCCACTTGATAAAATAGAAAAACTGGAAAAAAGAATGGAATTTTTTTTTTTTTGACAAAATGAGTGTACTTTCGCTCAAAAATTTAACTGCATTGTTTGGAATCGGTTACCGCCCCCAACTTTAACGAGCATTTTCGGGACTATCAATGTAGGACCGGTTATGTTTAATTTTACTTCTTTGTTTAAATCCAAATCTATTAATATGAAAATCAAACTAAACCAGACAGTGTGTAAGTTTTAGTTTTGAAGCTAATTTGAGGATTAAAGCAAACTAAACTGAACCGAACGAGCACAACATGAGATTTTTTTTCTTAACGCTCCAAGACTCTAAATTTTCAAGCTTTCTCGCATCCTTCCTACTCGCTTCCACCTCTACCCATCATTATGACTATGTTTGGTGCTTAGAATTGGATTGGATAACTCGCTAATTTCAAGGTATGTTGAAAGAAGAAATTGAGAAAAACTTCCACATTTTGTCTAAGTTTAAGGTAGAAGATGAAATAGTCACGAAGGAAACTTATCATTTCCAAACCCACTATGTTGACGGATATTTTCTTTTTATTTTGCAGGGATTACAACGGATTAGTTATAAGTTGATAATATTGTACATCAACATACTTGTCAGACAACAATTCGACCTGCTCCAAAATATTGGCAATAATTGGATCTCAACATATGGGAAACAATTGTTGTCACAACAGCTCGAAAATATTTATTTGTGTGAATACTTTGCAAGAAAACCAGTGTAGAAGAAGAGAAAAAAACGAGCTAATGAAGCTATGGATTGGGTAGGAGGAAGACAAAACCGATTGACTAGGTTATGTTATCCCCACCTTCCTGAATTGAATAACGTTCAGATCCATAAGCCATTGAAGATTTTCCTTCCCTCCTATTTCAAAGGGAATGAGGTGTATTTTCCAAATGTATTAACATTTCAAGAAATAGTTTACTTTTTCTAATAAAAATAAGATTTTGATTTGTTAATGAGATAATAATACCCAAAAAAAATTCATGTGCTCAATACGATCATTTTTTATGTGTATGGCGCGTAACGCATTCATTTGTTATTATTCCAAATTACCATTGTCTACCTTATATAGTCATATTGTCTACCTAAGCACACATAACTATGTATAAAAGCTTCCCATATTGATATATGGTGAATCATCATTGATGATATAATTACCTTGTCATTGCCCTTTGTCACATGTTTTGATATTTTCTTCTCACTCACCAGGCTCATTGTATCATGTCTTACTATTGTGATTTTTTTCCCCTTCAAATGTTTTGATAAGTTTCCTTTTTTCTCTTCCTGGAGTGTTTCTGCACTCAGTAGTCTCTTTTGTGCAGTAATAATAAAGTGTCTCAACATTGGATAGTCTTCATTGTGCAGTAACAGTAAAATGTTATAGGACTCAACATTTTTTTTAAATGTGCAGTTACAGCTCTATGACACTGAAATTGATGGTTGCCTTTGGTTGTTCAAAAAAATATGTTTAATGTCCTCGGTGTGGGAAAATATGAGAATAGAGGCAAAATGACGTGGGGACCAAAGGGACGCGATCCCTTCTTTTTTCTTTTTTCTTTTTTCTCTCTATTTTATTTGAAAATGTTCCAAGTTCGAATTCCCTTTCTATATTAAAAAAAAAGTATAAATCGAAAGGTTTACGAGCCCTAAAGGCATCTTTTCCTCTTCCGTTTGTCGACTCTTTTCATTCCATCTCTCTTAGACCAGCCGCTCTTTCAAATTTTCTCTTTTTTTTCAGCTTCTTTGCCTCAATCAACCTCAGCATTTCCCTTCTTCTAAGCAACTCTTCCTCTCTTGATCCCAA